CGCAATTCAAAACCACCTTCCCCCTCCTCCCTTCCCCTTCCCACCTCCACCCTCCGCCCTGCCGCAGGGACATTTGGTTGGAAAAATATTGTTCCAAGGAAGGTAATGATAAAGCTTAACATTAGGAAGAGGAGTGCGCAAACTCATTTCCCCATCGGTAATCCCAATAAAAGGAGCGTGGTGCTTCGCTGGGAAGGGCTGGGACGGGGGCTGCGTGTGTGTGCGGATCAGGGAGGGGGAGGAGGGACAGGACTCCTGAAATAACATCTTCTTTCCAGCAAGGTAGAAGAAGAAACGGCCCCTTTGTTTTGATAATTAGCTAAGCCCAAACTAGGAAAGCAGATGTGTTTGCTTAGCTAATCATAAGACAAGTTTCTTTCAAAGAACTTCATTGAGCGATGGCAATTCCGAAGGAAGGAGAAGGATTTCATTTTCCTCTCTCCCTTGCCTCCCACCCCCCTCTATTTTTATTATTATGGGGTGGGGATTTTTTCCCCCTCCTATACTTCTAATATGATAGAAACGCTTCCGATTACCTAGATGGGAAGAAAGCAAACCCTCTTCATCATAGCACCGGGCTCGCCCCCGGAGCAGCGCAGCCACCTCGGGCTCTCCCTGCTGCACGTTACCAGCCAGATCTGTTGACATTTTACGTGGGGGGGGGATGGGTAGAGAGAGGGGAGGAAAAAAAGAGAAGTGGGAAAAATAAAGTTTTAATGACATGTATGACATATTAAATTAGGCAGTTTTACAATTGGGTTTGAATGCGATGCTAACTGATTACAACTGTGTTATCAAAAGGGTGATAAGATTTATAACTTCGCGAGCACAAGCCTCTCCTCTTAATGACAATAGATGTTCAATAGCTGAAATCTGGTTTCTATTTCCCAAGAAGAGACGCTGTGTGTCTCCGTTGCCCCTTTATTACCGCAGGATTCAAGATCCTCTCTGAAACAGCTCGGCACTTGGAAATCCACAGGCCAGGAATACCTTTATGGTCCCTATTAACTACTGTGTTATTTACACTTTCGCTGGTGCTTCTCACTCAATACCCCTATCACATACGAGGGGATAAGACAGCCTCTCTCCTTGCCTTTCGCTGCCTGTTTTGGGTTTATATTTTGCATTTCTTTGCTTTACAAAAGGGGGGGGAGAAAAAGGGGAGAAGGGGGAAATGATAAAAAACAACCCCATAGCTCTGTCCCTTACACCCTTCTCCTCCCCAGCTCCCTAAACCAACACATTAAGCAAACTTTAAAAACTGGGTTCCTATTACAAAGCAGCGCCCAGGACTAACTGCTTTAAAATTACTGCATAATTAGATTTAGTTGAATTTCACCATTAATTAGGCAGCCGCACTGCGGGGAGCCTTTGAAATCTGAGAAAATGGGAAAAATCATCTGAAGCACGTTTTTTAAACCCAACTTCAATAAATCCTGACAAGGCCTGCATTTCTCCGTGTATCTCTTTCCATTCTACAAAGCAAAGCGAAGCGAGCGCGATCCCCAGGACCCACTAAAGTTTTAATTAAAAAAAAAAAAAAAAGAAGAAGAAGAAAAAAAAAGAAGAAGAGGAGAAGGAAATAAAAATAAAACCCATCTCCATTCCCACATCCCGCTCTTTATCAGCGGCGGTTACGGAGCGCCTCGAAACATCCTTGCCTTTTCCTCGCTATCCCTATCGCTTTCTCCCCCCTTTTTTATTATTTTTTCCCCCTTCGGGCCCATCCCGAGGATGCCGCGCTCTCGCTGCGGGCGCAGACCCCGCTATCCCGCCCGGGGTCGGTGTGACCCCGCTGCTCCGCGCCGCGCTCGCATGGGGGAGATGCTTCCACAGGTCATTGACATGCGGATGGGATACGGGCGGCGGGGGAAGCGCCGCCCGCGGCCGCGGCCGCTCCCGGGTGCGCGGGGCGCGGAGCGGGGCGCGGAGCGGGGCCGCGGGGCCCCCCCGGCTGCGCGGGGCGAGCGCCCGGCCCGGGGCCGCCATGTTGGCTCCGCTCCGCCGCCCACCGCGCACTTTCCCACGCGTCGCCCCCGCGGCCGCGCAGCCCCCCGCTCCTCCTCCGAACCTCCGAAAAAACCTCCAAAAAATAAATAAAAAAAATAACAAACCAGAAAAAAAACCCACCTCCCACCGGGCCGGCCCCGCGCACGGAGATACGCGCGGTTGCCACACGCGCTCACGCACAGACACACACACGGACAGACACACGGACACGCTCACACGCGCGGGCTGGCACCGCCCGCCCGGCGCCTCCTCCGGCCCCAGCCCCCGCTTTTGTCTGAACTTGGGGAGCCGCCTCCTCCCGCGCCCCCTCCGCGCCCCGCGGGGCCGCCGCCCCCCCGGCGGGGCCGGGCAGGTTCGGGAGAGCGGCGGCGGGGAGGGCAGAGCGCAGAGAGGAGGAGGAGGAAGAGGAAGGGGGGGTGAAGAAGACCTTTCCCGAGCTGTGGGTTGCACCGCGGGCGGCTCCGCAGCTCTCGCTGTCGTTCCGGGTCGCCTTTGGGTCTTTCCCCGCCAGTCCCGGTGGCAGGAATGGCGGGGGGGGGGGAAGGAATAGAGCGAGCTGAGATCAGATTAAAGCAGAAAATATAATAAAAGGGAGGGTTGGGAAGTGGGGGAACCGCAAGGAAAAAAAATAAATTAGACACTTAGAGGGAAAGAGTCGCCATGTTTAACAGCTTTTTTTTTTTTTTTTCCGCTTTTCTTAAAAAAAAAAAAAAAAGGATCTCCTCAATTCAACATAGAACAAGCTTCTCCATCCCAACCCTCCTCTTTTGTCCAATTCAATCTTTGGATAGATCTTTTGTTCTAACTCAGCATGAAAAGAAAAACTTTCTTTAAATGCTATAAACTTAAAACTAACTGAAGTCCCTAAACAAATCCTCCTCTGAGCATTCCAAACATATATACACGGGGCTTGTGTGTGTGCGTGCGTGTGTGTGTGTGTGTGTGTGTTTTTATTTAACCCTGGTGCATTTTCTGTTTACTATTATTCTCTGTGAACCAAAGCTCGCTGCAAGAAACTTATAAATACAGAGATAGCTTACAGGCTTTAAAACATAAAAAGCAGAGAATGTTTTGGATTTGAAAATCATAAATTATAATTTAATGCCAATAACAATTTACAACAAATGGTTGTTTACAATAAACTAACACAAAACAAACAAGTCAAGATCCTGTGTTCTTAGTAAGCATAAAAACTTCACACACACACACTCACATGGATAGCACTTGCAATAGAAAAAGCTAAATCTAGAGGTCAGCAATTCCCCTGCAATAATAGTATATTTATATATTTATATATATTTATATATTTATAGAAAAGGAGCCATGATTCAGATGTAAAACTCTGCTCAAATTCACAGTCATACGCCCCTCAGCCCCCAGTACAGATGTGTCTAACTGGAACACACTAAAGATCAGGGTTTAATCGACTTTACAGAATGATCTCTCTCCCTCCCTCTCTCTCTTTTTGTGAAACCACAACATGGTGTAGTTACGTGTGGTAAAAAGGGAGAGGGGGAAGCCTCAGACAAGAACAAAATTGCAAGCTTTCACATACAAAGCATCTGCTATAGACCAAGGGGAGGGCGGGCGGGGGGAGAGAGAAAGAAAAGAGAGAGAAAAAAAAATAAATGACACGCACACACACGAAATAAAATATCAACCCATTGCAAAAACCACATCATCTTGCCTTCCTTCAGGTTTGGGTTGGGTTATTTGGTGGGGGTTTTTTTCCAATTGCCCATGGTGTGTCCGGGGCTGTGGCACCCGCCCAGGCAGGTCCCTGGGAGCTGCAGGAGAGGGCCCTGTGCCTCCACACACAGGGCACATCCAGGGACGCCCACGCCTGCCTGTGTGCCAGCATACACACAGACACAGAGCCCATATGGAAAAGAGAGAGATGACCTGTGGTCATGCTTTCACAGTCTAAAGGTTAAAAAATTTAAAAAAAAATAATAATAAAAAAAAATGAAATCCACATGAGAGTATATATACATTAAAAACCGACTCCTCAGTGCTAGAAGCTAAAGCCACTCCATTTGAAGACCTCTCAATGACAACGATAGATGGCAACTACGGAGTATTATAAAAAATCACACATACTTAAAGAAAACTCATTGCAAACAACTGACCTATATTTACAATACTGCTATTACCTTGCTTGAATGATCTTGTGCGCGTATGTCAGACATTTACAAAAGATTTTTCGCCCCATTCTGATCATAAAATAGATACTGATCTCCAGATTTCTAATACTTTTTCACAACAATACCTTTCCTACGCAGGCACTTAAGTGTGACAAAAATAAGGGCCTTTTTTTTTTTTTTTTCCAGAAAATCCATTTTTAATTAACAGGAGGATTAGATGAATGGGGGTTGATGGTTTACCATTTCAGCATAGTACTTCCTAAAACCAGAGATAAACCACGAACTTAAGTCCTCCACCCCCATCCCGGAATTAAACAGGTAAATACACTACAATACATCTGCTACAAACTTACTGTGACAAGTAAACAAATCAATCGCCTATGGACTTAAATGACTGCAAACTATAGAGAAGTAATGTGGTTTCTGAAAGACATTTATGACAGCCAAACAAGTTTCAGATATCAAATAATATTTTAATTTCTGAATACTTTCAATTTTCCTTGGAATATAACACACAAAGACTCGACCAAACAGTTCAGTTATTATAACTTTTACAGTATACAGAAATGTTGCACTTAAAAAAAAAAAAAACCTTCAGTTTTTTTAAACACAAAACTGTAAACTCTAAGATACTGAATCAATCACGTTATCTATAAGTGCCAACAGTGTTATTTTGTCATGCTGATTTCAATGGTATTTTTTAAAAAGGGAAAATATCAACAATTATTATAATACAAAGGGCTTGCAAATATACAAACAGATAGAGGAGTTTAATAACAATTCATGATGAACTATGTGGAACCCAATTCAAATTACAAAAGTTCACTTTTCTTGTTTGCTTGTTTGTTTTTTTTTTTTTTCCTTTTAAATCAAAACCGTAGTGTGTCTTGGACACAAAATCCTTCTACCTATAATAAATCCCCACAGTTCATTTTCTGTCCGAAATATCAAAAAAACCTAGATTTGGGGGGAGTTATATGACACGTGTGGTTCATTCGGGTCTATATAATTATAGCTCTCTCAGCTTCAAGCTAGATTTTGGGTCACCACCTTAAGTGCGCTTCCATCATTGTGTTGTTGAGGGTTTTTTTTTTTTCTCTTTTCCTTTCTTCCTATGATACTTTAGTGGACTCAGTTTTAATTCTTTCAGAACATATATTTTAAGGATACACAGTTTATTTTTTTTTTTAAAGAAGCCAAGGTTATATCAAAAATTATTATAGAACCACAGAATAAACTGGTTTGAAACCAGAAAAATACAAAAAAGAACAGCTATAGGTACATAGACACATAGGACAATTAATAATTTGGAAAAAAAAGACTTACTTTCTTCCGTTCTGCTAATTTTCTCCAAATTTCCTTTAAATGCACTTTAAGCGAGATTTTTTAAAAAGTTTACCCCAAAAAAAAAGAAAAAAAAAGAAGAAAAAAGAAAAAAAGAAAAAGCCCACCATCGTTTCTTTTCTTCTTCTTTCTTTTTTTCTTTCCCTCTTTTTTATTTTTTACAAAAAAATGATAAGTAGCAAGTTTTTTTCTGAACGACACGGGAGTTTTTAATGCATTCTGTAAAAGTTCATTTGACAGTCTCTTTTTTTAATTCACAGTCCATTAATTTTTTCCTGTCTTCTCTTAGCAAACTTGTAACATCCTTTTACATCCTTTCTTAGCAGAAGGAAATTTAAGAAACAACCAGAACCCAAATGTCATTTGCTTTCCTTTCACTCACATCTCCCTTCTCAATTTTGAATTTTTATTTATTTTTTTAAAATTTTTGTCTCGGTGTTGTTGTTTTTTTTTTTCCTTTTATTTTTCTCTCTCTCTCTCTCTCTCTCTCTCTCGGATGTTTTATTGAATGGACATGTAAGGCCAGTTAAAACTGCTGCCAGACAGTAACATATCCCTGATTAGGGTTTCTATGGGGGTTTTACCTACCAAACGGACGAAAAACAATTGCTCTATGACAGAAGAGGAGACAGTGCGAAGGGAGGGGAGACGTAGTAATAGCTTCCCGAATCGTGTTGGCTGGTTGGGATACTGGCTCCTAACATACTCTTCCAAAGCACACTGTGACTTCTCCTGTAAACTTTCAACATGGGCTACATCAGAGAGACCACAGGCATCTAGAAGAAAGTGTATTAAAAAAAAAAAAAAGAAAGAAAGAAAAGATTAAAAAAAAAAAAAGAAAGCAATCATCAGATTAAAAAGGTTTTGGTGGTTTGTGGTGTTTTTTTTAATTTTTTAATTTGATTTTTTTTTTCTCCAAATGTCTAGGTTTAAGAGTGGATCGTGCGCCATCACCTCGCCCCCCAGAGTTTAAGTGGGTTTCACCAAAAGGGACAATCTCTCTGTGCATGTGTGTGTGTGTGTCTGCATTTCTCTCTCTTCTAGAGGGTCTCCTTTAGGACAGAGCACAGGTCCCAGGGTCGAGATTCCTAATGGCATGACAGACCTGAGGGGTGGCAAGGAGGTGCTGGCCAAGCCTAATTTCATATCTCTGTGGTTTTTGGGGGAAAGGCTGGGGGGGCGGGGAAGCCTTGAGTCAAAAAGGGGGAAAGGGAGCCACTATTTCTCCACACCCGCCCTTCTTGGAAAATAATTGGGGGGAGCCTAACCCTGTGATGAGAAGGACTACTACTCACAGTGATAGAAATCATAATAATAATAAAAAACTGGCCCAGCCAAAGATAATGGCGCCCCGGATCCAGCAACAGATTCTCCCCCAAAGAAGACAACGCGTTTTTCTTCAGTCTTTGAAACTGATTTAAGTGGCCCTTTAAAACTGATCTTGTCAGTTTAGCCTATTCAGAGGCAGCCATGCAAACTGTGATCTCTCTGTTCATTTGAGCTGTTTCTTTTCCCCCCTCTTTTCTTTTCTCTTTCTTTCTTCCCCCCCCTCCACTCCCCCCTCTTTTTTTTTTTCCTCTTCTTCTTCTTTTTAAACCTAAAGGCCCTTACAAGAAGAAAACTCCCTGATAGGGTCTGGACATTTTTTTTTCTTTTTTTTTTTTCTTTTTTTTTTTTTCCCTGATACGCTAAAATACAATAAGTTCCCTTTAAATCAGAGACGTCTGTGCTGAAAGAGCACAGGTTGTGACCTGACCTCCCTGTGGCTTTCCTAGGCACAGGGCTAACACATGCATATTCTGCGAGTCATTAGAACCCAGATTTTTCCCCCCTCCCTCTTAAAAGAGGCTGCAGCAAACATTATATGCATCTATGTGCGTCTGCTTTACATCAGGGAGGGTTATTGGGGTGCTGCAGAAGCTGCAAGCATCACCCTATATTTTTTTGCATGCGGCTGTCTTCCCCAGAATCAGATAACAAGAAACGTTTATCTAGTTGGGAGGCAATTTACACGCCAGGCCTCCCATTTTGAAAATAGTCATAAATTAAACAGTTACGACAGGATCGGACGATTGTTTTCTCAGAAGGCTAAAAAAAAAAAAAAAAAAAAAAAAAAAAAAAAAAAAGTGATTTGGGAGAAAAGGCAGGATTGGAAATAAACTCCTTGGTGTGGGTGTGAGCTGGGCAGGGGCTGGGGAGGGATGTGAGCGTGTGTGGGATCCTCGCTGAGCGGCTGAGCGAGGGAGAGGAAAATGCATCCTAGAAAAACGATAGAAAAATAAAATAAGCACCCCACAGACACCCCTTCCCACTCGGGATCCCTGTCTCCCTGTGGCTAGATGCGCCCTGCTCATTGATCACCTCAGGATTTAACACCAGTAATTGGGGGGGGAGGAAAAAAAAAAGGAGAAGTTTTTTATGTGTAAAGCAATAATATATAAAAGGAAGTTTAGGTCACGACCCAGAACCTGGACAAAGTCCAGAAAATGACTTCGTTCCCCAGACCCCCTTTAACACAACAAGGAACGGATTGTGAGCCCTTCTTTTCCCACATAAACTACATTTTTTTCCTGTTTCCTGATATCAGGCTTTAAAAAACTCTGATGAGTAATTATTTTGCAGGTCCTGCTTCCATTCATATGTTTATCGCGTGGCCACTTTCCCAAGCGTCCGAATGAGTTACAGGCGAAATATATGTATTTTTAAATTTAATCCCCAAACTTCCAGGGCTCCAGCACACTGGGTTGCCGGTGCAGCCTCAAAGTTAGTGATCTGAGATAACGTATTGCACAAATTAGCGAGCAGATTTTTTTTTTTTTCCCTCAGAAGAAAAAAAAAAAAAATTTAGCCTCCAGAGTTAATATCAGGATTATTACTCACCCAGGTTAAACTCTAGTGCAAGCTAATTAGATTTCACAACGCACTCAATTATTGCTTTATAACTCATGCACTATTTCTAGGCAGCAAAAGTTGACACATATTTCCCCCCCCCTCCCCTCTTTGATTATCTAAGAAACACCTCGAGGTCTTTTCCTCGGGAGAGTCATGCTTGTGCCACCCCGGAATTACACTGCGGAGCGGCAGCTTCAGCCTCCTCTTACTTTTCCATACTATCCCTGTCTACTTATGGTAATGATCTTTTCGCACCCGCTACTCGCTTTGGACTATGCAGTTCCTGCTGGGTACAAATGCAAACTTTTCCCCTTAGCTTAAATGACACAGAACTGCTCACTGCCACATTCTGTTTAAATCAGAGACAGCTCTTTGCAAAGTTGATTTATTTTATTTTATGAGATGGCAGGGAACATATTTTAAACTCAGATTTGCGCATTTAACTTTTTTTTTTTTTTAATTCAATTTTTAATCCTTCAGGGCTTTTTTCCCTTCCTGGCTGCCCATAAAATGATCCTCTTTTTAAAGTGGTTTCACTGATAGGACGACTTGTATTTAACAACATCAAACAGATTTTGCTGCTGTTCGGATGCGTGTCATTAAATGCAACAACCCAGAGCTATACTGTTAAATAAAATATTATTTTCAATGGGAAGAGCGCAGTCTCTCGTGGCGAATGGGTGCCTCTTCCCGGGCCCCTTCTTTCCCAGTCCCCAGCATTATTCAGCTAGGCTTGGGGTGTATTTTGGCTGCCTGCTTTTTTCTTAAAAAAAAATTAAAATGAATGGGGTGTGTGTATTTTATTTTTATTTTATTTTTTTCCCTGATTTGCACTCCCTAGAAGATGGGATGCTCGGATCCGAGGCCCTGCAGGGCAGAGCATAGGGCACCGCTTCCTAAAAGGAAAAGAGACCGCGCTGGCTCTCGGGGGGCAGGGAGCGGGCATGGGGTGCAGGCAATAACACTTTGCAAGAGCAAACACTTCTCAAGGGGGGCCCGGGGAAGGAGGAGAGGAAAAAGAAAAAAAAAAAAAACCAAAAAAAGGAGCAAAGAAATGCCGCCTACCTGAGGTGAAGAGGACTATGGCCTTTAAACAGCTATATTCTGCAGAGTCGACATGCAATGCTTTCAGTTTTTCTACTTGCTCTTGGAAGATTCGTATGTGGTCCATAAAGGCGACCACTCGGTCAGCAGACATTGGCGAAGCGTGGAGGCCAGCAGCTGCCAGGAGCGGAGCTACGTGGAGGGGCATGGAGCACTGGGCAGCGTTGAGGACAAATAACTCGCTCCAGGTCAGCCTCAGGAGGGCCACCTGGTCTGTGATCTGGAGGTCTGGGAAGAAGGGGATATTCCTGGCCCACTCCACCGCGCTGAAGAGCATCCTAGCTGCCAGTTCACAAATGTTCTCGATGCCCATGATGTTGTTGGGTTGCATGCACTGACTGCCAAAGCGGGAGGTGGGGTAGGGCTCTGCTCTCAGAAGAAGGGAGATATATCCGGATAGGTAGGAATGGCAGTTGAGAGGGTCCCCATTTGTCAAGGCGAACTGACCATGAGTTGGCTGTGTGGGTGGCATTCTGCCCCTCTGGACCGCTGCAGTAAATAGAGAAGAAACTACAGCTATTAATATCTGAATTGCGACCATCGGTTCCAATACAGCCTGCTTTGTGTGCTTGTGCGTGCCTGTGTGACCCCGCACCCGGCCAGCTTCGGGGAGAAGCGTGCATTTTCCCCGCCAGAGTTCAGCCCCGGCCCCGCTCTAAGGCTCCGCAGTTCTCGGGTCAAGTCAAGCAACAACAAAAGCTGAGGGACGCTGTGGGCTCGGCCGGGGCTGCTGTGGGAGCCCGGCTCCTCACTTCCCAAAACACACCACAGTCCGGTTATCCCCCCCTCCCCTGCACCGCCACCCCCTCCTTCCAGAGATGCAGGATACGTCTTTGTGTGTTTTTTTCCTCCGTTACACCTAAACCAGCTCGTTGGTTTGAGGCTGGGGGAGCGGGATGGGGAAGGAGGAGGGGAGAAGGAAGAAACACTTCAGTTCGAAATCCCCGGCTCTGGTCCCACACGCTTTTCTCGCCCACTGAATACATTGTTGCTGCTGGTATTATGCATCCCCCCCCTCTCGTAAAAAATACCAAAGGAGGCGAAATCACCCCACAACATCCCCGGCAGGTCCCCTGGTGAGGCTGAGGGCATTATCCAAAGGCACCTTCCCCCGCTGCCCATGGAAAGTGGGCCTTTCATTTTGTTAATAAATTTACACGGTGACAGCGAGAGAAAAAGGAGAGAGAAAAAGGGCTCAGAGGCAGAGAGACGACAAGAAGGGAGAACGCCTAAAAATGTGCTTGATTTATATTTGTTATCGCCTGTATTCCAAGGTTAGTTACTCTTGCAGAAACACAAAGAGAGGAGCCCGGCGAGTCCCAAGCCCCCTCACCCTTAACCTACATAGCAGCGTCCAGACACAGAGCACGCACTGGAAAACTGCAGGCTCACATTTCCCGTCTAATTTTATATCACAAAGACTCCACTTGCAGAGATCCGAGCACCCCACACTTACTTCTGGACTGCTCCTTACACCCCCCACCCCATCCCTTCTACCCCTTCCTGCCTCTCCCGGAGGAACAAGAAAATAAGAGGAAGAAGAGAAAAGTGAGGAAATAACAACCAGGAAAGGCAGGCACACGGCAGTGTGTGTATACACACACACTCGTGGAGATATGTGTGTGTGTGTGTATATATTTTTAAAGGAGGAAAAATCCGGCCGGGAATCCACAGTGGAGTGCTGTAGAGCCTCGGTAGGGTGAGTCCCATTGTAATAGTAATTTGAACCGCCTGTGTAAAATTGCAATCTAAGGCAGGGTGCTGGAGGATATATATATATGCGTGTGTGTATGTGTATATGTGTGTGTGCATCTCGGGAGGCTCCGTGTGTGTGTGTACACACACGCACAGACACACACACACACACACACAGGGCTGCTCGGGGCACGGGGGCTAAGGCTGAGCATGCAGGAGGAAACACGAAGGAAAAGTAACCACACGTCAGAATCATCATCTCGCTCCTAAGCAGCGTGAAACTAAAAATCCACTTTCAATAAACCTCCATCAGCAAAATCAAAACAAACACAAATCAATTACGAGTGCAGGAGAAAGCATGCGAGAGCCCCTGCCTCCCTGCCCACCCTCCCCAACACCGCTTTCTTTCATTACGAGAAAGTTTCTGGCTGGTTTATTCGAGGGGGGTGGGTGGGGGGGAAGGAAAGGTTCTGGTTGGGTTTGGGGTTTGGAGAGGAAAGTTAAAAATGCTAAGAGCAATTATATATATTATTTAAAAATAATAAAAAAAGGAAAACCAAACAAACCCCAAAACGCAGCGAGTGAAAAAAAATTGCAAAACAAATGAAATCCCAATACCTTCCCGTCTCATGCCAACTTTGAGGCATTTTTTGAGGCGGCAGTACTGACACTGATTGCGGTGGTGCTGGTCAATGGGACAGTTCCTGTTGGCACGACAAGTGTAGCTGAGATTCCTCCTTACACTCCGCTTGAAGAAACTCTTGCAACCCTCGCAGGTAAACTGGCCATAATGTTTGCCACTAGACTTGTCCCCACAAACCACACATTCAATGTGCTGCTG